ATATATATATATACATGCGTTTGTTTTTGGCAGCTAGATGGAGCCACTCTACACATTTATCACCAAACTCAAAGATGAAACATTGGCGGATGATATGCCCCTCCCTTTCTTCCGTTTCTTCCTTGTTGAACGGCTTTTCCAGGTCCTTGCTGCATGTTTGGATGCAGCAGGCCCGTCGCCGAGATCGCATCTGGGGACCGTTTGCCCTCTCTTTCACTTGCATTAGTCAGTGAAAGATGAGCTTCTTGCCGAAGGTCCTCCATCTTTCTGCAGTCTCCAACTTGGGAGTCATCACCATGATATGGTATTTCTGATCTATCTCTATATCCATGTGTATATGTTGCTTCAGTTCCAAAACATATGTTGTTTCTTTGGGCCTTGTCACAAGCTTCACCCCAGAATCCCTAGGTCTCCGGAAAAGAAAAGGACATTATTTGATCTTACAGCAACCTGTTTTAAAAAGACATATATGCGTTTTTGTTTGTTTAAAGTTTCAGAAGCCGAACAGCTGCTTACAAAGCGCACTTGGTGCTTCACGCGCTTCACAGGTGCTGTCATCGCCTCCGCCTGGGTGGATCAATCCTTCCAGGCTCAGAAAGAGGTGCCGCACCGACGCTGAACGGCAAATGGTTTGAACGGTGGGGCGCACCTTTCGGTCGGGGATCAGGTTTTGGTGGGCTGAATTCGGTCGGCGAAACCGATGTGTTCTTCTGTTTTTGTTCTGGGTTTCGGTGGGTTTGGGGTTTTGGGTTGGTGCTTTGATGTATATGAATGTATATATATATATATATGTATGAATGTGTGCATATTTGTGGATGTTGCCTCCGTGGTGTTTGGGTTTGGAGCTGTGAGCTGAAGAGGGTTTGATTGCTTTGGATTTGTTCAACATACCATGACCCTTTGTAAGGTGTTCACGCAGGAGAGAGACACCCGGGCTGATCTTGCTCAGGTAGTTGGACGTCCTATTTATACCGGTGCATTCGATGGTTGTTGCTGTTTGGTGCTTCTTTCCTGCCTCACGCTAGCCATGCTCTCTTTCGGTGTGCGGTCCCCAACCGCTCCGAAGAGGTCCGTGGTTCTTAGTGTGTCCGGTGGACGTCCATGCCCGGTGGTCTATACCCCCGACACCGGGCGGGTCCGAGACCCCACGCAGGAGCCGTCTCCGCGCCGCGTTCGCAGGAGTTGGCCCAGGCGGCTCGGGAGGTCCTGCAGGACGCCAGCGCGCCCAGCGAGGCGTGGTTTCGGGGGGAACGACAGGGTGTGGTGACATGTGTGGACAGGGAGATGTGTTTGTTTGGATGGTTTTGGGGTATTGTTTGGATGGTCAATGTGTTGATGTTGTTGTTCTTCTTCTTTTGTTATTCTTATGTTGTTGTATTCTTCATATGCTAGTAATGGTGTCCAACAGTTGAATCTGTATGATGTCAAGTGTCAATTCAGCAGGGCGACAATGATGAAGATGTAAACATGTCCAAATTGCGAGAAACGTCTTGAACAAGTTGAGTGCGAGAAACTCAAGAAAGCCAATGAGGCCCTTGAGATTCTCATTGCCAACAGTTTCAAGTAGTTCAATCCCGGATAACTTTTGCAGGACTCCTTTTCGAACGTGAAAGGTGCTGCCGAGAAGAGGATGCAGGAATGCAGGACTTGAGACAGTAGTTTCCGAGTTCTATGTGATAGTGGTCAATGTTTTTCACACCGGCCCAAACCTGTCTAAAGTCTGATAGATCCGTGGGTGCTTGTTCTTTGAGGATTTACGTAGCTCCCAACAAAACAGTCTCGCTGGGCTGCCGATCCGAGCCCTTAGGGTCTTTCTCTTCCCAGGTTGTGGTGATGACCCCAGCCTTCGGCGACCCAAAGCCAGCCTATTCATGAAAGAGTTCTCCCAGAATACTGACCACCTCCACACCCCTTCCCGCTCGATCTCAGATGCTGTAACCACAAAAGCTCAGATATGGCCTCCAAGATGGCCTCGCCTCGCCTGACGTGTTCCAACAAGTCCTGACAGGAAAAAAAATTAAAAAATTTTTGTAACGAGATCTTCCAAACACCCTGAGCTGTCCCCGTCCCATCGCACTTCAAATGATCCAAGCTAAGCCCATGACTGCTTCACCAGGCACGCGCCAGCGCCCATCACTTCTATGCACGTGTGGCTTTGGCGTGCTTCGAAGAGTTTGCGCCCACTCTGGAGGTGGTCGCTGGGCCAAACCGTTTGGATCCAGATGGTGAAGCGGTTGCTCCAGGAGGAGATGGCCGGGCATGACATGAGACTAGCCTCAAGAATGCAAGATACCCTGGTGGAACTCTGACAACAGCATGGATGACATGTGCTGTCAATTAAAATATCTGGTGGGTCCAAACCCAGACACGGGCTATATTTGTCAAAGGAGCACATGATGACATGGACGCGTATTGGATCGAATATACGATACCGCACCACTAGTTCACATGTCCCCATCCAAAAGTCCGAAAATAACATACGTAGTTCTTCGGACTTATCCCATTCTGGACATCCATGGTCCCATGATATAGTTCATATGGTCCCATTCATATATGATTCTCCATATAAAACAGAGAACATCCATCTTCATCCCATGGTCCCATGATGTCGATTCTTCAGAATCTCTCCGCGGCTCTCCACTCCACACCCCTCCTCGGCCATGGCCCGCCTGCCCCGCCGGGTGCGGCCCCCAGGTCTTGCCACCGGCGCTCGAAGCCTTAAGACCCGAAAACAGCGAATGCCTGGCCGTCACTGGGCGACAGAGCCGTCGAGTTGAGCTGTGTTTATGTTGCGTTTTTTTGGACCGTGGGGATGATCAGATGGGGTAGATTATGATCATCCCCATCTTACCCCATCTGACATGATGTGGATATTACCACATCTTACCTGACATGATCAGAATGTAGATGATGTGGCTTGAGTGGAAATTCATCCAACTGGTCCAACTGATGATGTCAGGTGGAGAGTCATCGCTACGGGCCCTTTGGTGTTCTTGTCTGTGATCGTAGTACTGATCATAATATTCAATTGGATCGGTATGACATCTAGGCATCTCAAGGCGTATATTCATGGCATATGGCATGTTTGAGACATTTATTCAAGGCATATCGAGGCATCGACATTCCATGCATCCCACTCTCCCAGTTGGCTCTATTCGCTCAGAAGCTCTGGTGTGCCAAAAAATAATCATTTGTGCGTGGCGTTTCTCAGAAGGGACCGAGGATCAAGAGACTTGCAGTGCTACTAGAGAGGAATTTGTTGGGAAACTATGCACAATGATTATATATACACATACTACAAACGTCCAATCAAAGGCTCCCATGAACGGTTACAATGTATAGACATACAAACAGATATATAAGTATATGATGGTCACAACTTGGGGCCAAGATGGCGGCTGGTATTTGGGCAGGTAGACAAATGAAGACCTGTCCCCTGATGTTGCGATTTGTAAAGTTGAGCTCCCCCGCCAGATATGGATGTCCAGTATGTATTGATCGCCTGGTCGGACGAATTCTTTCTTTCCAAAGCAGACGGAAGCAGGGCAAGTTGATGCCATTTGCTCCCTTCTAAGCCTGACAAGAAAGTCCAGCCAGGCAGAAGAGACTTTCCAAAACTGTGCGTGTGCGTGTGAATGGCGGGAGCCGTGCCAACACCATGCTAGCATGTCTATTAAGTCGGAGTGCACGAGCCAAAAGCGCACTCACCGGTGGGAGACATGTCACCAAAGGGATGGTTTGTTTTCTTCGACTCTCCACATTGAATCCTTTGGTTTCATGACATGGGTTCGCAAGGGTTCACAATGGTTCGCAGCAAGGATTCAATGGCTGGGCTGAGAGAATTGAATCCTTGGCACCATGACAATTGAATCCTTTTGTTTTCAATTGACCTGTCTCAGGTCAAGCCTGGGCGCGGCGTTCGAACGGGTGGACACGAGGAGCGAGCGTAGCGCAGAGCGAGCGCAGTGTGAATGCGCCGGTCAGACCGGGTCGACAGTTCTGAACAGTTCAGAGGTCTATGCAGTTCTTCAGTGACACCAAAGATATGGGGGACACCCCATGTGGGGATCGCTGACTGGAGCGAAAACCACGACCTGTTGTGTCTTCGGAGTTCGTCTTCCGAGTCTGGTTCCTAATTGGTTCCCTTCGGTTGGCTGGGCACTGCGAGGAGCGTCTGGCGGCCTTGGAAGCTCTGGGCAGCTATGCGGCTGCCCTGGGTGCCAGGCACGGTGGGCAGGGCCAAAACGTCTGCTGATAGGTCTGAGACCCCAAAACGATGGGACTGAGTGGGACAGGGGTTGCCTGACCAACGGTGTTTGAAGGGTGAATTACTATTACCGTCTATTACCTTGGAGTATCCAATGTTTAATAACACTATTACATGATGCAATATCGGCTATCTGGAGTTTGGAGCACTGGTCGCGCACCATTGAACCGGCTTTGAAACCGCTGTGGGGGGTTTGATGGCCTTACCCCATTGGATTCCACTAGCTCAGCGGCCACTTGTTCACAAGCTTTCTGGCTACACTGACGTCTGGGGACCCCATGGCCCTTGCACAGCGACCATTTACTGTAGTAGTTCAAGCATCGACCATTTAGTAGTTCAAGTATCTCTCGAGAGCTCAGAGAGTTTTCGATTCACCAGATGCTTGGTCAGCATAGTAGTGCGCAGCCTCCGAAGAGACAATCCTCACTGTTGATCGTTTCCACAGTTTGACAACCTATAAAGCATCGGTTACACCGACTAGATACAGCACTTGCTATCATATGTTTGTTTGTTCACTCACCAATCTCAAGGAATAGGGGTCATTACGACCTGCGGGTGTCGTCTTCTTCTTTCATACCACCGTTTCATGATGTTCAAAATCTGATACGGGTCGCGTGGACGTGCCGACAGCCAACTCTTTTCAGGTTCGCACCACACCTACCATCGGCGCTGCCGGCGGTGTGCTCACAGGCCACTTTGTGCTAAGGGACGCGATTGGACAATGGCAATCGAAGTTAGAATGAATGCTTAATGAATCAATACCCTGCTGGAAAAGATGTATATAGGACTTCTTCAGCTGCCATGGCTTCGAAAAAGACGCGTGATAGGAACATATCTATTTGATCCATTCTGGTAAGATGGAGTCCCAGCTTGCCTAAGTGTGTCTGAATCCTGACTCTAAGTCCTGGATAAAATTCCTTCAATGACATAGGCTGGGATAGTGACAAGGTATTGGGCTGCACTACGTCTAAGTGAAAGAGTAACTCACTTCTGAGTTTGCCCCAGTTTTCAAATATCATTGTTGTTGAGGTAAGAGCTGTTCACAAGGCTGATACAAAAAA